GTCGCCCTCTTTTTACTTTCACCCGCCAAAGCGAAGTAAGCATACATTGTTCTATTGAGAAAAATATTTTTCTATCTATTTTATTTTTCAAATAGATTAATTAATCAATCATGCCACGCGCACCAAAACAAAAAGATCCTAATGCACCAAAACGTCCATTATCAGCATTTTTTATTTTTTCACAAGATGAAAGACCAAAAATAAAAGTAACAAATGCTAGTTTATCTGTTGCTGATGTTGCTAAAGTCATTGGAGAAAGATGGCGTGCAGCCCCTGATGATTTAAAACGTAAATATGAAAAAGCAGCTAAAGAAGCGAAAGAACGTTATGAAATTGAACTACAAGCATACAAACAAACAGGTAATGTATTATAAATACATCTATCTATATCCATATTAATATTTCAATCGAAAAATTCCTGTCATTTTATTGTAGCTGAATATACTCAATCAAAAGTACGGGCTTAAAAAAAATATAAAATAATTCTTCGAGAATGATCATTCATTTATTCATCTAGATATTCTGTTTTTTTTCTCTCTCTATCTCACTATGTAGTATTATTTGTTGTTTTGTGTGTGTGTGTCTTTTTGTACTGTATATTGTACAGAAAAAGTTTACTGGGTATTGAAATAATGTGCATGCGTTTTTTCTTTTCTTTGTTGTTATAAGATATATAGATTTATGTGCTTGTTTATTTTTGCTTTATCTCTAACAAAATAAAATGTATTCTATCTTATAGATAGATTGAAAATAAGACAAAAAATAAATGAGATTGTTTAAAACATCAGATAATCGGTGATTTTTCTTTTATATATGACATGATGCATGGATGAAATATGATCAAAGGATAAATTTTTGAATGGAGCATCTGCTGTTTCTTTCTTTTTTCGATTGTTTAATGAAATGAATGAAACCATTGGCCGTCATGGATCATTTTATTCGTGACCTCATTATAGTCTTGCAGGTGATTATGAATTGATTCGATTCTAATGGAACATTTACAAAATTTGAATAAATTTTGTCATTGATAATTCATTACATACTACTGTCCATTTCAAAATAGAAGGTGGATGGTTATTTTTTGACTAACATTTGAAAAGAAGCGATGTGAACGTACCAAAATTCATAGAAAGTTGTAGTTAGACATCTTCAAAATTTTGCTTTTTTCGTCTGTGTTATATTGGTAGTAGTTCATTTGAGTTTTTAATCAAATTATATATGAAAGCAAGAAGAGACTGATTATTAGGAATACTTGAATCGAGCTATAACATTTACTTATGGGTTGTTTTTTTTGATGAAACTTTATTGTGATAATTTATGAAAGTATATTTTTGTTTGCTGTATAGCAAATGAACAAATACAAATGATCGATTGTATTTTAAATAAAAGTCTGCTGCTTCTCTTTATTGATAAATCTTCGAAGAATGAATTGATAGTTTTAAAACAAGAATCTGCTAACTGTATTTAATTCAGCAAAAGATAAATTTTCTTGAAAATATGATTGAGATTTTCGAATAAAACAAAAAATAAAGATTTCTACATAAAACTGATCAAGGACTAAATAAATTATTCTGACAAAAAATATTCCCTCTAGCAACGTCAAAAATAAGAATGTCGAATAATAGAAATATTAACAAAAAAAAAAGAATAGATGGGTGGGTCTCATCTTTATCTTACACCGACATCCATTCGTTAGAATCGCTTGAAAATCTTTACAAATAGAAGATGTGAGCAAGTTAGTCAACTGAATTCAATTCAATTAGATTCGGTTAATATGTTTTTTTTTAGTATTAATCTTATTTCTTCTATTTACAGGAATCACGTGATGTTTTTCTTAATTCAAAACTTATATTATCTTGATATATTATTTAAATGTAATAAAAATACAGTATGAACTAAACGGATCAATTCAATACTTACTTTGCAATTTAGAATGTGAATGAAAATTTTGAAATGCCATATCAAATGATCTTACATTTTATTCCGTAGTATTTTATATCGAACATAGTCATATAATACAAAAGAACAGATGTCTATTGATAGATAGAAGTTTAAAACTAACAGTTTACAAATATTAAAATTCTAAAATGTTACAGTTAATGATGATATATTTTATTATTTCTATAGAAATAAACTAAACTGATTGATTAGAAGGTAAATTTTATTTATTTGAAATTTCAATAGTATTGCAATGTTCATCTGTAATGTTTCTTTTGACTGTTTTAATATTCAAATTAATTCTAATAATTCGTTAAATGTAGATTTAAATTAACCCTTCACCCAGGCAGACGACAAGCACAAAAAAACGTTGAAATTTTAACGAAAATAAAGTCAAGAAAAGCGCACATTTTAAGAGTTAACAACGCATTCAACTTCTTCATAACGTTAAATCTTACAAAATAGCACGTTTTTACGTGTTTTTGACAAGTTTTGTCAATTTTGATGGTGTAGTTAGAGAGACCATGATCCGGATTATCATGCATGAGGGTAGGATCGACAATATTGAACTGCTGACCATGTACTACGTCTGTTTGTAACGATTTATATGATAATAATTTATCTGGCAGCTTTAATAAAGCGAGAAAAATGATTTTAAGTCAGATATGAGCATTTGAGACCCTATCTGTTATTTACTGGATACTATTCTGAGTATGTTCCAAGCAAAGTACCGACTTCTGGTTTAACTCTCACTTGGAACCATAATTGCTTATCTGTGTTGAATATCGTTCTTTAGCATGCTGGATTTACTACTAGTAAAGAAATACTTTTCATACATCTGCTTAGTTCTAATATTCGATTTAGTTGTTCAGAACAACATTTAAAGTATTTTCTAAATTGTATGAAAATTTAATATTAATTTGATTTGATTTCTTGACTGAGTTGATGTATTTGAGAATACAATGTTTAACGAAAGTAGCATGATGAATTCTATTTAATTTGTATTTACTTTTTACTACAAAAGTTACACATAATTTTCATAAGTGTGAAAAAATAATTTAGTCATTCCTATTCATATTTCTTTGAATGAGATTGTAAACTTCTCCATATTTGCTTGTTAATTAAAGCCATATTAAATTTTTCATATTGAGAAAAAAATAACAATAGATAATAAAATTCTGTTTCTTACAAGTGATAATTTATAGAGACAAGATTCTTTTAACATTTTAGTATAATATTTCAATGACTTTTGAAAAAAATGAATAAGATAGGATCAACTGATTTCACTTCTGGTAATATCGATATGTGCTATTCAAATTTTAGCATAAAGATGAACAGTAAAATGAGATGATCTAATAAATCATTACATGAAAGTACTAGTGCAATATTCTACACTATTAGACATTGTAAATTTATTTATTTTAATGACCTTGAAATAGGTTTTGTTAAAATTTCTTATTGAACACTTTCAATTGAACAGTATTCGATTACATGAATACCTTGAAGTCAGTACATTTAGTAAAAATTTGACATGTATAAAATGATTTCTCTGTTCATATAAGTGTTTAAGTAATTTGTCCATTTAATTGAATTTATCATACATATTTCGGCATTCAATTTACTTGGTGTGTAAATGTCGCTGTCGTTATTTCTATTATTTTTATTATTGATTGAGTGGTAACAAATTGAATGTGTACATAGCTGTTCTCTCTCTCTCTCTTTTTAGTTTATACACTCTGCAATTAGAGTGGGTTGTTCATGAGAATTAAGTGTGACCTGCCTGCCATCAAAAGAAAAAAAATTTTTTTTTACTTCATTTTTTTATTTTAATTTGTTCATATCGTTCAATCATCGTATTTTACTTTATCGACTTTTATCAACTCATATTACATTCTTTTCTTTTGCGAATATCAAGAAAAGAAAGGAACAAATTAATATCTATCAAGGATGTCTAATATATACAAATATATCTTTTATGAGACATTCTTATCTTTCCACTTGATCTAGTTATATATACGAAATATATACATATATACGTCTGAAGAAGACGAGACACTCAATCTATTTGTATGTATTGATTGAGTAATACGAGATTTTTCTTCTTTTCAAAAATCTTCTTGAATAAATGTGTGTTAATGGATTCAGATTATTATAGGAAGATACACTCTACTTGAAGTTTTTCTTCTTTTTGTATTCTTTCAATGTCAATAGTTTAACAACGGCACTTTATATATCTATTCTAAAAGCATTCTATTTTCTTACACGATTGAAGATGTATGCCCGGAAGATGACTCAAATCTATTTAATCTTATCGTCTATGTATGTATGTTAACACGTACTCTTGAAAAACGATAAAGTTTTTCTATATATAGATGTGTCTATGTGAAAGCAACATACTAACACATTCATCGATAAATATATAACAGTAGACATATTTTCACGTTATTTGACACTGACGAGATCAATATCCGGTTGTTAAGAATATTTATTTCTTTTCATTTGCTCGTTTTTTATTACTTAAAGTGAATATTTACTAAATAAGAGACAGAGAGAGAAGAAGAAAAAAATTCAACTCATACATATGTCGTTACTTTACTTCTTGTCAATTATATGAACTGTTTTATGATGATGATGATGTGTGTTTACAAAAAAAGATAATCATTTTGCACGCACAATTGTGTCTATATCTCTATTGCTAATTGGAGTAAATGTATGAGTTTAAAAAAGAGGAAGTGATGATCTTCTTACGTCATATTCTAACGAATATTTAAACTAATGATTGTAATCTTACTCGTCATACAATAGACAATGTTGTACTAGACAGATATCTAATAGAAAATTGTTTTTTCTTTTCCATGACGTAATTTATTTTTTATACAATTTCAATTAATTTTCTTATCGTCATTATCGTCTATATACTATTAAAAAGCACAACACAATAATAATTTTTATATGTGATCATACTGTTCCTTATCATTATATTTAGTTTCACATACAACAAAGGACGAACAGAGAGAGAGAGAAAAAACAAAATACAATGCTTATTACAAGCAACACAACAATTAGAATATCTCTTGATAATCATCATTAATTTGTGGACAATAACTTGAATAAAAATGTTCATCAATTAATTGTAAATGAAATTTTTTCTTTTTTTTCAACCATAGATTAAGTACAGATGCAAGTGTTCTTTGTTTAATATCAAATTTAGTCCATACAGAACGAAATAAAAATCCATGTAAAGGACATGATGGTGCAAATATCGATATACGATTACTTGATTGACGAAGATTATCTCGAAGTTTCAATGTAAAATTATATGAATTGATATTAATTTTATCTAATTGTAATTGTGTTAAATCAAATAATGATTGAATAATAAATATTTTAACTGTTAATGGTAATAATTTAATCGCTTCACTACCTAATAAACATTTATAACGAGATTCTAATTGACATAATGATGAGATTTGTGTATTCCAATAAGCCATTCCTTGATTGATTTTTGATATACCATTTGGATTATCGGAATAATCAATAAACCATGCTGAATCAATAAGTACACGAATATCAATATGTGACGAAATTTTTGGTAATAAATCCGGAAGATTTAATAATAAACCTAAACCACCTGCTGAGAAACCTGTAAATATAATTTGTTTTGCATGTGAAAAATAATTTTGTTGATGAAATATTGCATGAAAAATATCATAACCATGTGATGATGTTTTATTTGATGAACCTGACCATAAATCTGACGAACAATAAGGTGCATAGATAATATTAAATTGTTTAAATGATGAAAATATTCCTGAGAAAAATTTTTTTTCATTGATATTTTTTGTTGTGATTAAATCTGGAGAATATTGTCGACGAAATTCACATGATTCATTTGAATAACAAAACCAACCACCATCAAAATAAATTAACCAACGTGAATGACGATTATTTGCTAAACGAATATAATATGATGCTATACTATTGTCCATACAACGTGCTTGAGGATAATTAATTAATGATATACGATGAAAATTTTGATCAGATAAATGTATTGATGATGATGATGATGATGATGATGTTGGAAGAATTTGTCGACGATATACAAATGTTAAAATAATTAAACTTGGTATAGTTAAACAAAGAAATAAAATAATAATTCCTATTTCAATATGATATGGTTTATAATATGTTTTTGGTTTAATTAATTCTGGAGTTGAAGTTGGAGAAGATGAGAT